TAGCCAAATGTTGACGGACGGACGGACGTACGTACGACGGACGACACCCCATGGCAATAGCTCATCTTGACGATGTCAAGGCGAGCTAAAAATTGAGATGAATGTGTATAATACGTTCGCACCATAGACACTGTGTCTACGTTTGAAGAAATTAAGAGCTAATTCACTCGTTAGGAATCATTACCTGAACTATGACGTTGTGAAAAAACCTTAGAAGATATAAAAGTAATTTAGATGAGACGTGTATAATATGTTCTAAATGCACCATGTGCCTAAATTCAAATAAATTAATCTGTACTGTGAAATAATCTATAATCTATACAAATAATCTATTACTATCATGCTTCTATTGCACAACAGACACTGAGGGGAGCACTGTGGAAGTTTTTACATTTAGATGTCTTGTTTACTGAGCATGACTATGCAGTTTACGCGTGACAATCTCGCTTTTATCGTTTGTGGCACCGGTTTTTGTGAATCCAGCATCGGCGGATTGGCTGTAACACAGTTTGGCTGCGTTCGTGTTTGCGTTTGGCTTGTTGAATATTTTATTTTTCAACGAGAGAAGAACGTCGTAAACATGGGTCCGCCCATCGAGGGCAAAAAATTTATCACTCGGGCAATTACAAATTTTTAATTACGATTAACGCAATTCGCACTAATTATTGAAAAGAGTCGCCGCGATTAGACTCTTCTACTAGGATGTTTTGACCGCGCGATGCCCCACCTTTGTTCTTCTCTGCGTTATTGACTCGCGTGCCTCTGCAGCTGCTGCGGCTGCTGCTGCTGCTGCTGCTGCTGCTGCTGCTGCTACTGCTGTTGTTGTTGTTGTTGCTGCTACTACTGCTGCTGCTTGTGCTGCTGCTGCTGCTGCTACTGCTACTGCTACGGCTGTTGTTGTTGCTGCTACTGCTGCTGCTGCTACTGTTGCTGCTGATACTGCTGTTGCTGCTACTGCTGTTGCTGTTATTGTTGCTGTTGTTACAGCTGCTGCTGCTACTGCTGCTGCTGTTACTGTTGCTGCTGCAACTGTTGCTGCTGATACTGCTGTTGCTGCTACTGCTGCTGCTGCTACAGTTGCTGCTGCTACTGTTGCTGCTGATACTGCTGTTGCTGCTACTGCTGTTGCTGCTATTGTTGCTGTTGTTTCTGCTGCTGCTGCTACTACTGCTGTTGTTGTTGCTGCTGCTGCTGCTACTGCTGTTGTTGTTGTTGTTGTTGTTGTTGTTGTTGTTGTTGCTGCTGCTACTGCTGCTGCTGCTACTACTACTACTGCAGCTTCTGCTGCTGCTGTTGTTGCTACTACTACTACTACTGCAGCTGCTGCTGCTGATACTGCTGCTGCTGCTACTGCTGCTGCTCGCACCGCTCTGGCGCATGTGCCGTCGCTCGTGTGGCCTGCCTGCCTGTGTGCCTCTGTGTGCGTGTGTGTGTGTGTTAATGTCTTGCTTTTGTTTGTACCTCCATGGTACATAACAGTCCATGGCTTTACAGGACGCCGGCTCGGAGCAGATCGGTTTCCTGCTGGGCAGCTGCGGAATACAGGTGGCGCTCACGTCCGAGGCGTGTCTCAAGGGCCTGCCTAAGGCAAGCAACGGAGACGTGGTCACCTTCAAAGGTAAGGCCACAATTAAAAAAATCTCTGTTTGCCCTCACCCGACCCAGGCTGAAAAGTTTTTTTTGGGGGGGTCTTTTTACAAATTCGTTTATGTTTTATGTTGAATGTTTGTTTTACTTGGCACATATAATGTATTGGCCACAGATGTATATAATGTACAGTGATACAATTCAAAGCTAATGTTACGTTAAAAAAAAAATGGGAAAGATCAATAAATTTGTTTTGAGTCATTTTTTTAGTCTTTTTTTTGGCGGGTCTGCCGGGTGAGGGCTAACAAACAATATTTTTATTATGGCCTAAGTAGTACATATGCGGTGTCATGACAGAAGCGTTGATGGTGTAGGGGGACCTGTTGTCAGAAGCAACATTAGTCGTAACATCAGCTTTGAATTTTTAAGAGGTGGTCAAGGGTAAGTAGTATACATAGGGTGTCGCGACAGACGTGCCGATATGTCAGAAACAAAATGAGTATTTAAAAAATATTAGTCTCAATATTAGCCCTAGCATTGGATTTTCCTTTTGAAGAGGGTAACCACTATGCATACGTCGCGACGGACACATCGATATGTTAGAAACTAAATTAGTATGCAATGGGTTGCAACAGTCCCATTCATATGCAGGGGCCCGTTGTCAGAAAGATAATTAGTCCCAGTATTAGTCCTAACATTAACTTTTCCTTTTTAAGAGGTGGTAAAATTTTCAAATGTGGAGAGTCTCAATGTAGTTTTAACATGAACTTTCGGCTTGAGATTAGTGTGTATCGTAGAGTAAGTTACAGTTAGTTATATTGTGTTACGTTCACATTTCTCGCATACGATGCACACGTTTACGTAAAATTCTCGAGCAAGCAAGCTAACATCCGATCTACGCGTTACAGGCTGGCCCAAACTCTCGTGGTTTGTGACGGAAAACTTAGGCAAAGTTCCAAAGGACTGGAAGGGAGTGGAAAGATTGCAGGAAGACACACCAGCATACATTGAGGTAAGTCCCTACCTTGATTAAGAGCGACCGCATACATTGAGGTAAGTCCCTACCTTGATTAAGAGCGACTGTAACCTACATACATGCTGTGTAGGGTTCGGCGGCATGTTGACAATAAAATTTAATTAAATAAATAAATTTAAATAATTAATTTAATGAATATAATTACCAATTAAGCAGCATTTTCGTGTGTACTCAATGTCATACCGTTGGGGGAAAACTGCCACAAGCGAGTTGACGATTCATCCCTCACATATCCCTCCCATCTGCCGAGAGTTAAAAGTCGGCGTTTTTTCTTGGGTTTGTTAATACGACTGACCAATGAAAAACACCACAGCACGCTCGCACCTACGCGCTGCGATACGAGGGCCAAGCACGCGCATGGCACAGCGACGCCCTAATCTCTGCGCTGCTGCGTCGCTTGTTTTCCGTTACACGACGGACGAGGACGGCAGCGTGTTTTTTTCCTGTTTTGCATCGCTTTGTGCCGCGCTTGCGCCTCTGCGCGCGCAGCAACACGAGATCGGAACATCACATCTACAGTGGCGCCTCACACATCGCTAGTTTTTTTCCGAACACGTATGGCACGACAAAACCCTCACGGCTGCGTCGCTTGTTTTTTCAGTCATCTCTGCATCGCTGCGTCGCTTGTTTTTCAGTCATCTCTGCATCGCTGCGTCGCTTGTTTTTGCAGTCATCTCTGCATCGCTGCGTCGCTTGTTTTTGCAGTACACGACGGACAAGGACGGCAGCGTGAAGGGCGTCACGGTGGCGCGCACGGCGATGATGTGTCACTGTCGCACGCTGACCGCCGCCGCAAACTACAGTGAGGGAGAGGTGATGGTGACCGTGCTAGACTTCAAACGAGACGTCGGACTCTGGCACACTGTACTGACGGTAGGTGGCGATGCGCGGACGGGGGGGGTCGACTAAGGAGGAGGGTGTGTTGTGTGGTTGTTGTATGGAGGTGGGTCGGAGTAGGGTGGTGGAAACTACAGCGAGGGAGAGGTGATGGTGACCGTGCTAGACTTCAAACGTGACGTCGGACTCTGGCACACTGTACTGACGGTAGATGGCGCCGGCAATGCGTGGACGGGGGGGGGGGGTCGACTAAAGAGGATGGTGTGTTAGGTGGTTGTTGTATGGAGGTGGGTCGGAGTAGGGTGGTGGAAACTACAGTGAGGGAGAGGTGATGGTGACCGTGCTAGACTTCAAACGAGACGTCGGACTCTGGCACACTGTGCTGACGGTAGGTGGCGCTGTGGGGCTCGGGCGGCGACCGAGGAGGGTGTGTTGGGTGGTAGTTGTGTGGAGTAGGGTGGGAGTAGGGTGGTGACAACTACAGCGAGGGAGAGGTGATGGTGACCGTGCTAGACTTCAAACGCGACGTCGGACTCTGGCACACTGTACTAACGGTAGGTGGCGCCGGTGTGCTCTTTCTCTCTCTTCCTCTCCCTCACCCTCCCTCCCTCCCTTCCTACTGCATACTATATCGTTGCTCTCTGTGTGTTTTCCACGTTACAGAGTGTACTTAATGACATGCACACCATCTGCATTCCCTCTGTACCTCCCTCCC